TATTCCAGAGTGGAAGTGAGAGCGGATCACCATGGATTTCGTAGTTGGACTCCCACGGACTTTGAAGAAGTTCGATGCCATTTGGGTGATTGTGGATCGGCTGACCAAGTCCGCGCACTTCATTCCTGTGTGTACTACTTATTCTTCAGAGCGGTTAGCATGGATTTATATTCGATAGATTGTTCGCTTGCATGGTGTCCCAGTTTCCATCATTTCAGATAGAGGTACTCAGTTTACCTCACTGTTTTGGAGAGCCGTGCAGCGAGAGTTGGGTACTCAGGTTGAGTTGAGCACAGCTTTTCACCCTCAGACAGACGGGCAGTCCGAATGCACTATTTAGATATTGGAGGACATGTTGCGTGCTTGTGTCATTGATTTTGGAGGGTCATGGGATCAGTTTCTACCGCTCGTAAAGTTTGCATATAACAACAGTTATCAGTCGAGTATTCAGATGGCTCCATATGAGGCTTTATATGGGAGACGGTGTAGATCTCCAATTGGTTGGTTTGAGCCGGGTGAGGCTAGGCTTTTGGGTACACACTTAGTGCAGGATGCTTTGGACAAGGTGAAGGTAATTCAGGAGCGGCTTCGTACCGCACAGTCGAGACAAAAGAGTTATGCTAATAGGAAGGTTCGTGATGTGTCCTACATGGTTGGGGAGAAGGTTCTATTGAAGGTTTCACCCATGAAGGGTGTTATGAGATTTGGGAAGAAGGGTAAATTGAGTCCTCGGTTCATTGGGCCTTTTGAGGTGCTTTGGAGGATAGGGGAGGTGGTTTATGAGCTGGCTTTGCCACCTAGCTTGTCAGGTGTGCATCCGATATTTCATGTTTTTATGCTCCGGAAGTATATTGGCGATCCGTCTCATGTCTTGGATTTCAGCACGGTTCAGTTAGACAGTGATTTGACCTATGACGTGGAGCCAGTGGCTATTTTGGAGCGGCAGGTCCGAAAGTTGAGATCAAAGGATATAGCTTCAGTGAAAGTGCAGTGGAGAGGTCGGCCTGTGGAGGAGGCTACTTGGGAGACCGAGCAAGATATGCGGAGCAGATATCCTCACCTATTTGAGGCTTCAGGTATGTTTCTTGACTCGTTCGAGGACGAACGTTTGTTTAAGAGGGGGAGGATGTAACGACCCGGCCGGTCGTTTCATGAGTTACCACTCTGTTTCCCCCATTTTTGCTTCTTTATATCTTGTTCAGCTGTATTATGTGGTATCGGGTTGGTTGGCTTGGGTTCGGAGTGGTTTTGGAGAGGTTTGAGACACTTAGTCTCTTTTGAGTAAGCTTAAGTTGGGAAAAGTCAACCAGATGTTGACTTATGTGAAAAAGGTCTCGGATGTGAATTTTGATGGTTCGGATAACTTCGTTAGGAGATTTGGGGCTTAGGAGCGTAATCGGAATGTATTTTGGAGGTCCGTGGTAGTTTTAGGCTTGAATTGGCGTAATTGGAATTTTGGCGTTTTCCGGTTGGTAGTGAAATTTTGATATCGGGGTCGGAATGTCCGTTGTGTCATTTTGACGTGTGTGCAAAATTTTAGGTCATTCGGATGAGGTTTGATAGACTTTTTGATCGATTGCGGAATTCGGAAGTTTTGGAATACTTAGGCTTGAATCCGAGGGTTTTTTGATGATTCGATGTTGTTTTGAGTGTTCCGAAGATTGTTACAAGTTTGAATAGTGGTATATGACTTGTTCGTACTTTTGGTTGAGGTCCCGGGGGCCTCGGGATGATTTTGGATGGTTATCGGGAAGTTTGGAAGTTAGAGTTTGCAGCTGAAGCTGTTGTGCTTCTGTCATAACCGCACCTGCGGATTGGGGACCGCAGGTGCGAGCCGCAGAAGCGGCATTTTTATCGCAGGAGCGAAGGCCAGTGATTGGGGATGCATCGCAGATGCGGAAGGTTAGTCGCACCTACGAGCCGCAGATGCAGTGGCTTGATCGCAGATGCGGATGGGAAGTCTAAGTGAAGCTCTGCAGATGCGAACGTTTGGTCGCAGGTGCGGTATTGGACTGCTGATGCGGAACCCCTGGGCAGAACTATAAATTCTTGTCTTCGCGATTTTCAGCTTATTTCCTCTATTTTTCAGGCGGTTTTGAAGCTTTTTGAGAGGGATTGAAGAGGGATTTGAAGGGAAACACTTGGAGGTAAGGTTTTTGAACTCAATACTCGATTCTATGGTAATTTCTAACTAATTAGACATGAAATTTTGTGGGATTTAAAGGCTAAAAATTGGGGGATTAGGGCTTGGAATTAGAGAGTTTAAATTGGGGATTTGAGGGGCCATTTGAGGTCTGATTTTGATATTCTTGGTATGTGTGGACTCATGGATGGATGAGGATTCTTATGATGTGATATTTATCGAATTTCGAGACGTGGGCCCGGGGGTCGGGTTTGGACAATTTTGGGATTTTTTAGTTAATTTTATAATTTTCGTATAGGTTTCATTCCTTTAGCGTATATTGATGGTTATATACTGATTTTGGTTAGATTCGGGGCATTTGGAGGCCGAATCGAGAAGCAAGGGCGTCGCGGGCTAGAGTTTGGCTTGGCATGAGGTAAGTAACGCTTCCAAACTTGGTTCTGAGGGTTTGAAACCCCGAACTACGTGTTCTATGATTGCTGTTGAGGTGACGCAAATGCCAAGTGACGGGCATGTGGGCGTGCACCGTGAGAAATGTTGCCTGGATCATTCCAGGGTACCGCTTAGTGACTCTTTCTTGTTGATATCTGTGTTTCTATCATGTGACTAAGTAAATGTGCTGTAAAAACATGCTAGATATCCTGTTAGGGCTTCATGCTGATACTGTTGAGACCCGAGAGGTCGTTTCTTGCTGTCATATCATTATCTTCATTGATATTCTGTACTCAGTCATGTTCATGCATTATATATCATGCCTCAGTCTCGATTATTGTTATTTGGCACATCATATCATTGTTCGGGCTAGTATCATGACATTGTGAGCCCATGTGTGTGAGACTGGAGAGTGATGACTGAGTGAGGCCGAGAACCTGGTTGTGAGTGACAGTATATGGGATCGGGCTGCACGCCGCAGCGCTAATGCTGATGATTTTGATAGCTTTTGGGCTGTAGGAGCTCCTCCGGAGTCTGTAACACACCCCAGTGAGCGCAGTTGATGATATTGAGGGATGGATCTTCTCTGGACATGAATCTTGTCCGAAGTATTTATACTTGGAGATGGATCTTCTCCACAGGGCTGGAATGGCCTTCCTCGGTACTGGATGACTGCGGTCAGTGATATATATATATATTCCGGGATGGATCTTCCCTGGGCCGGATGGCCATATACTACTCCGAGTGGTTGAGCACTTGTGAGTGGAGGTACACGGAACATTGATCATGCTATCTGTGCATTAGTACATAGAGATTTCCTGAGCTTATTATTCCGTACTGATCAGACTGCATTAGTTACTGTTGAGTTTTTTTCCTGAACTGCAAGCATGCCTACTTTTCTGTACAGTTAAATGATATTACCTGTTGAGGTTTGGTTCGTCACTACCTGTCAGTCCATAGTTTGGACTTGTTACTTACTGAGTTGGTGTACTCACGTTACCCCCTGCACCTTGTGTGCAGATCTAGGTATCTCGGGTTACGGTAGCGGTTGCTGATCATTTCAGTGGTGGACTTTTCCTTGGAGATAGCGAAGTAGCTGCCTGGCGATTGCAGTCCCGCCTTCTCCTTCTTTATCTTTCGTTAGTGTATTATGTTGGCTATTCTCAGACTATGTTAGTCTTGTTTTCTTTCAAACCGTTGTAGTATTTTGCTCATGACTTAGTGACACCCGGGGTCGGGCTTGTATTTTTCCGCTTGTTTTGATTTTTGCTTTATCTCTTTTATCGGATTTCTGTTAAAAATATGGTTTCACTTAAGTTTTAAATGAAATATAGAGTATTTGGAAATAAGTTGGCTGGCCTAGTTTAACGATAGGAGCCATCACGACCGGGTCGGTTTTTGGGTCGTGACAATATCTTTTTCCAGTTTTCCCTTTTGCCTAGAGAATGGTTACTTTGATGTAATTTTTTTTACCAGTTTCATAGAGAATTGTTACTTTGAATGTAATTTTATTTACCAGTTTCGTAGCTTTTTACAGTTTTATTACCTAAAATATTCTCACTTTGGCTTCATTCTATTTACCATGTTCTTTATCTTCTTACAGTTTTTTGTCTACAACATTGTTTCTTTGGATGTGATTCTATTGATCCTTTTTTTTTTCTTCTTCTAATTTTTCCTGGAGATTCATTTATGTGTTGTTTTTGGCTGATAATTATCATTTTGAATTGATGTTGCTCTTCTTTTTGGTTTCAATCTGTTTTGGGACCTGCGAATGAAACTTTAGATCGGCAACATTCGGACATTGCAGTGGAGTTTAATCTATTAATATAGAAAAAGAGAGGCAAATCAATGATATTATGCCAAGTGTCAAAACAAAATGTGAACACATATCAAATTTTATGACAAAACTCCAATAACTTTGGAGCTTCAAAAAATTTTGAAAATAGAAAAAAACTTACAAATTCAGTTATTCATAGCTTTGCTCTCACGTTTTTAAAACTAAAAAAAAAAACTGAAAAATTGGACAATTTACTCCCATTCCCACGTTTTTTCATTAAAACCGAAAAAAGAAATATAGTTACTCCCATTCCAAGAAACAAACTCCAATTCCAATTCTCACGTTTTTTTTAATTATTAAATAATTTTATATGTGAAAACCCTTTACTCCACAATATTAGGTAAAAACTTTTTACCTTCAACTTACCCTAAATTCTCTCTGCAAAATCACGATAGCCTCAACTGTCTAACCCACGATTGACTATACTGTGTAGCAACTGCTTAAAACTGCAAAAATTGTGGTTCTTCCACAACTACACGTACTTTTTCAATAAAGAAGCGTCGTATAAGCCTGTATCATCAACTGCCTTCTCTTCAATAGACGGCTCTACAACTTCTCACAACTAGGCCAGTTACGACTCAATTTGACATGGAAGAAGAGAAGAAATTAACCAGAAAAAATCGAATGGATATACAAAAGCAGAAACGGCCTAAATTTTCTCCCGAGAACAACGGTATGAACTTTAATCCACTGTTTGCAGATTTGCGATTTGCATAACTGTTGCTTACAGAGGGTCTCTTTGTTCACTGCTTACAAATACTCCATATTTCCTACTTCATCTTCTTTTATCTCTGATTTTTCTTGGGCTAATTAACAAACGTCATTCTTTATAATTATCATGGATATTGGATGGCTCAAAAGCTCTATCAATGTTCACCGTAGACTTGCATAAGTTATTAGTTAAGTAAATTTTATGTGATCTATTGGAATTATTGTTTTGTGTTGCAATATGGACTTTTCATTACAAACCATCCAATTAACTTTCTACTACTTTGATCATTTTGGTTTGGGTCATTCTTCAGCAGTTATTTGGCTTCTTTGATCTCTAATGTATAATTGATTTTTTTTGAAAATTGACGCATAAGAGGCCAGATTGTACTTTTGACCAAAAAAGTTTTTTTTTTGTTACAAAACAAGTCAGATACGAGTTTGTGCAGAAATTGCTCTTCCTGTTTCTTGGTAAACCCATTTAGCTTACGAATTTGTGCTTATACGAATTTCACTCTTGATTATTAATCACAAATTGCTCTTCCTGTTTCTTGGTAAACGAATTTGTGCTTATACGAATTTCACTCTTGATTATTAATCACAGATTGCTCTTCCTGTTTCTTTGTAAACCCATTTATCTAGCTTGGGTAATTTTTGGTCCAATGTTTGCCGGTAAAACTACTGCTCTTCTACGTCAGGTCAATTGTGAAGCCAAAATGGGCAGAAATATGGTAATGATAAAAGAAAGGGTTGGTGTCAGAAAGAGAGACAATATAGATATATATTTCTTTTTTTCTGTATAAAACTTACAATATCTTAATATTAATATAGATTTACTGACTTATTCTTTGGGCTTTGGCTCATATACTTGAATGCAGAGCATACTTGGTTACAAAATATAAAGAAAGCACCAAACGTCTCACTGGGCGAGACTGTCAAAACAAGGCTCAAACAATTTTCAGTTATGAACAAGCTCAAGAAAAGGTAAATATACACTTTTCCCTGCAGTTATATACATATTCTTAGCATTCTGCACTCTCTCATAAGGATATCTTCATATATGCTTAATATTTGAAGCCCAAAATGATCAAAGATTCTCTGCTTTCTCACAAAAGTTTCTCAATCTTATGCTTTCTTTCATTGCATGCACAGGTTATCGCGGAGTTTTTGTCAGCAGAGGAAGTGGCTGGAATGAAGGAAGCATTTGACCAGATGGATACAGGAAAGAAAGGCAAGATTAACCTTGGAGAACTTAAAATTGGTCTTCAAAAGCTGGGCCATCAGATTCCTGATGCTGATCTTCAGATTCTCATGGAAGCCGTAAGCATTCTCATGCCTTTATTTTCGCCCGGTTTGATTTTCTTATACTTTAAAGGGCTAAATATATCATACATATCAAGTTACTAATACTACCTAATGCTACAGTCTGCTTCGTCTCTCTTTAAAATATTCAGATTTCAGCTTAGAAGGGAAGTCAGGCATTACGGTTAAATATTTAAACTTGCTATATATATAATATCTATAAATGATTGATTCTATATATATTAGATCAGCATAAGTTGAACCAACAAAACTTCTATTTTATTTTTACTGTGATGACTTTCAATGTGAATCTGTCTATAGCCATAAGAGAAGCCTCGCACTTTTCCTTGCGTACCTAATTGGGTTCTTATTGTTTCTCAGAAATTCCTTACTCTGGGATTCTTTTGCTCTTTGATAGAGTGATTATTATAATTGTTCCCACTTTTATCTTCTCTTCGCTCTTACAGGCTGATGTTGATAGAGATGGATATTTAAATTACGCGGAGTTTGTCGCTGTATCAGTTCATCTAAGAAAAATGGCAAATGATGAGCATCTGCACAAAGCGTTTTTATTTTTTGACAGAAATGAAAGTGGCTACATAGAAATCGAGGAGCTGCGCAGTGCCTTGAGTGATGAGGATGATGGAAACAGTGAGGAAGTCATCAATGCCATTATGCATGATGTTGACACTGACAAGGTAAGTATTTTCTAAAACTTATTATCATTATGCTTAATTGAGAAACCTGTCATTATTTTCTACAGATGTGTTAAACAGTACAAAAGTGAGTTGCTCTTTTCCTCTTTATTTTCTTTCTTTTTTCTCGGGATCTGCAGAAACTGTACAAAAATATTTATATATAGTAGCTATCAGACATAATTCTCCTAACTAACTTTTTTAAGGCAAAGTTGCATCATTCTTTCTCCTTCTCTTATCTTCTGAGAAACATATACAAGGATATTTTGGTTTGTAAAGTCACTTTACTACAAGCCAGCATGGCATTTTATTGTAGCTACTTCGAAAATACTTATGTATAGTCCAATCCTTGATTTGTATAGGTACTAAAAATATTACTTTTTATTTTAAAATTGTTACTTTTAGGTATTTTTTGGAATCTCTTTTTTATTTTGACTTGCATCATTACTATTACTAAGTAAAATAGTACAAAAGAGGGTTGCCCTTTTTTTTTTTTTGATCTGTACAAGCAATACAAAAATATTACATCACTCATTAGATATATTTCTCCTAACTAACTTTTTGAAGCAAAATTGTTGTTTTAACTCCTTTTTGATAATGGCTTTGCTTAGCTTAGCTTTTAATCTTGCAAATTAAGGACTGATAATAGAAATGAAACATATACAGGGATTAAGATTGCACTGCTACTATTAAGAAACGCCTAGCCGTAAGAAAGGTTCGAAGTTCAAAGTTTTGAAGCTACATGGAAATATCATTATTCTTTAAACATTAAATACTTATTGGAGTTGTTTGATCTGTATGAATTTGATCATGCAGGTTGTAACTATACATTCCTGATTTATGATATTGTGGTTGTAGCAGTAAGTGCTGACTTCTATTAAAGCAATTCATTTGCATCATGTTTTTAGTATTCAAAATGGACGAGGGTGATGTAAATCTTATATTCTAGACTGGATTGCAAATGTAGTCTTACAGTATTTGTCCTTTAATCATGTTTTTTGCTTTTTACAAATTGCAGAGTATTTATTGCAAACAAGTACTATTCTTTCAGCGTTAGTCGATATCCTTGATGAAGATAGGATCTGAAAGACAATTGTAAATGTTGAATAATTTACTAGAGATTCGTCTTCTCCGATAAATTACATCTATTCTTTGATATCGGATAGGCTCCATATGCCATTAGCAGCTTTTGTGGTTACAAGATTCAGAGTAGACTATATCTTTCAATATAGCAGACTATAATGATTAGTTCTCATCTAATTTAAGCCCCTGATAATTGAGGTTCTTCAAAACTCTATTGATGGTAATTCAAGTAAATTGGTCGATTTATTTGATCAACTAATGTAGAGACATATTTTAACTCCTTATGGATTAGAAGGAGTATTTTTTTTGGTCTCTCTTTAATTTTTCTTTTGTTGTCAGGTAGCCTATTAAAAGTTAGTGGCACGCCGCTGGATAAATTAGCAGAGCTAAATGAGTTAGTTGATTTTATGCCTTACGAAGAAATTAAACTTTTTGATATTATTATTATTACTTTATAACTCATAATGAGGAATAAATATTTTACCGATCAATATACATATGTTTTTATTATCTCTCTCCACTCTTTTTTTTTCTTTGAATCGATCCGCGCATCGCGCGGGTACGTATACTAGTTTTTAGAAGAAAGTGAGGGAATTGGCAAGATGATGTGGCATCCCCATAGTGTAGGAATTCTATTTATCTTTTTTCTTATCTTTTGGCATTTTCTTTTTTATTTTAATCATTTATCTTATTTTAAAAATTCACAACCATAACTCACATCTTTTGATCGAGGGTTGTGACTTTTCAAGTCCGTAACCCCCAATTGTTTAATATGTTACGGAAAAGGCCTAAAAATGTCAGTCAACTATCAGAGATGGCCTATCTATATCATCCGTTAAAAAGATTGCTATTTCCGTGCCACTACCGTTATACTTTTGGCCTATTTATGCCACTGTCTACTAACGGTTTCATTTTATGATTTTTAAATAATAGAAATTATTTTTCGACCCCACCTTTGGCACATGTCTTTATATTATTGGTTCTTCTTTAGATAACCCTACATTTCTTTTAACCTTTGTTGCCATTTGAGGAGATGGAGGCTGTCCGCATTGCGACCTGTAAAATTTCCGGCGACATGTTCCACCTCAACCTCAATATCGTCTCTTCAGCAGCCGTCTGCAGCCTCGTTCCGTAATCTTTCAGAATGTCTTCCTCCTTTAAGACGCCCATGATTGCCCGAGCTTCCGACCCCAAAACTGACCAACCAAATCCCAGCACTGATGAACCTGGTCTTCTTTTCCTACTACAGGTTACCCCCAGTCCCTCCCTTTAATTAACTCCTCTCAGAACACTTAACTGTTCGTTAATCACGATTTTCACGATCATTTTGGCAATATTTTCAAAATCTTAACGAGTAATTTATTTTATTTTATTGGATTATTATTTACATACTACTACTCACCTGTGAGGTCGTTTTTGAAATTTTATGACAAGCAGGAGGATTTGAACTTCTTATTAAAACATGGAGTTGGTTCAGTCGCTGGAGGAGCTGTGATAAAGTATGGAAGTGTCATTTTCCCAGAGATAACTAGGGTTTAGTTTTCGCTTATGTGATTGGATTTTATCGGGTTGGATTTGGTTAATTATACATAATCAGGTTAAAAGAAATGTAGGGTCAAGTAAAGAAGAACCAGTAATATAAAGACACGTGGCAAATGTGGGGTTGAAAAATTAATTCTTATTATTTAAAAATCAAAAAATGGAACCGTTACTAAACAGTGGCATAAATAGGCCAAAAGTGTAACGGTAGTGGCATGGAAATAGCGACCTTTTAACGGATGGCATAGATAGGTCATTTTTGATAGTTGAGTGGCATTTTTAGATTTTTTCCGAATATGTTATAAATTACATCTTGGATTATAACTTTTCTAATCCATAACCCTCATTTGCTTAATGTATTATAAATTGCATTTTCCTCCATTGTTTCCTCCTACTATTATATTGATTAACTTTATGCAGTGTGTTTGATTTGCGGTAAGTCGTCTTAGTTTTTAAAATTTTCACTATTGCGACCGCTGATGAGTTTGTAATAGGATGTACATGTTGCTCTAATGGCGTCGACAAAACCTTTTCAGAAGCCAAAAGTAACATGACTTGCGGATAAGTAACATGGTCTTGCTGATGTTCATTATCAATGGCAGTTTTATTCATCTAATGAAACAAGTTATTTACATATTTGCTTTTATTGACAGATTTTTGGAATAACTATATCTATTTATATTTACATTTTAACTCACCTGCTTGATTTTTGGAGTCTTAAATGGGATGGTTTAGTGGAGGATCGGATAAGCTTAGGTGATATTCTTTGCTTTTTTTTTTTTTGGAGTAGAGGATAGATTTTGCTGTGATGATCGAAAAAGAATGGGGAGGAGGAGGCGGCGGATTACAGGGTGAGGGAAGAAGACAGAGAATTGCATAGAAAGAGAAAAAGAGGAAAATTAATGAGAAAAATAAAAGCGCAGCAAATAAAAAAGAATCTAAATATACTGAATAAATAATAAAACATAGAAAAGGAAAGGAAGTGAATATACGAATGTAAATGCTCCTATCTTGCATTTAAGTTACATTCCTTAATTTTTTTAATAACTTTTCTCTCTTTCTTTTTTCATTTGACATTTAAAATATATGGAAAAGCTATAAAAATAAATAATTTTAATTTTCAAAGGGAATATACGTATTTATGTATGTAAAAAAATATAATATTCATAAGATAAAGGTGAATGCTAAAACTTCGTAAAAAATTAATACTAGAGGAAACAATAATTTTATAACTTCTTTAACCATTGTTAACTTTCATTGAATGGATTATGCTATGTTTGGTCTCCCTTAATGTTTGCATTATGAGATTTTTTTTTTTCCTATACCATATATGAAATTTTATCATAGTTTCTAATTCACTCGTCCTGTCCACATTTTTTCTACAATTATTATACCATTCATTAAATAATAATTATTAGTAGCTGAATCTTCCTAATTAGGCCTGGTAAAATTCAGGAACAGAATCTTCTAATTGATTTAGCCACAAATCAAATCTGTTCAAAAGCTCAATTCGTCGAAATCAAATCTGTTCAAAAGCTCAGATCTGTTCTTCGATATTTTCGCTTAAGACACAAATCAAAAGCTCAGTTCGTCTGAAAAAACGCAATTATGTCAAAAATCCCAATTATGCTACAATTGAATGAGAATTGGGATATAAAAATTCAATGTACCCAGTTTTGTAGATATTTTGTAGATAAATAGTAGATTATTTGTATTCTAATTGTAGATGCTTTGTTTTCTGTTTTCACAAATCAAAAATGACTAAAACTTATACAAATCTTCTGCAAAAAATGCAATTATGTCGAAAATCCCAATTAAACTACAATTGAATGGGAATTGGGATATTAAAATTCAATGTACCCAGTTTGTAGATATTTTGTAGATAAATTGTAGATTATTTATATTCTGATTGTAGATGCTTTGTTTTCTGTTTTCACAAATCGAAAACGACTAGAACTTCTACAAATCTTCTGCTTTTGCTTCCATTATAACTCTTTCTTCTTTTCAATGAAATACTGTCACAATTCCTCTGCTTTTCCCCATATAAACGACTCAATTTCCTCGTATTTTTTTTTAGTTAAGATATCAAATAAGTAGGAATTGAACAAGATGGGGAAGATGAACCAGAAATGGGACATCTGCAATGGAAAAGAAACTGAAAGACACGTTTTCTGATGGGGGGTGGTTGTATGGGGTGGGTGTGGGGTTTGTGTATGTGTGTGTGTGTCTGGGATCGCACTGGGAAAATCTGCATTTTGGGGAATATAGTAATATGAAGTTGACAAGGGGTCATTAAGAAGAGTTTTATTATCGGTTGGAAGATTTGAATATTAAAAAGGAGAGGTACAGTAGTCAGCTGCTAATGTACTAAATTCAATGCCAATGTTTAAAATAATGCTAGTATACTTCTGCGCACGCAAATAATGTGCTAAATACACTATGGTATAGAATTGGTAATTTGGTATTCTAAGTGTAATTAAGTCAAACCTTAAATATTGAGGGTAATAAGGTTTCTTATGTGGCATAGGAATATAAAAATTCCTTGCATTATATTATATATATATTTCAAGCCCACTAATTTGTATGACTAATCATGTCGAGGATCCTTCCCCATCATATAAAGATGAAATATTTCATCTAATTGTTTTTTCACCAAACTATTACAAAAAGTTTGCTCTCTTTTTCATTCTATTTGATGAAGCCAAAACACCTCCTATAGTATGTGGATTATGCATTATTTTTTTCCTTTTAAAGTTCATCAACTCCAATAAAACTTTGCTTGTTCATCCTAATGATTGATTACTATTCACCTAAAATAGTTGTTTTGCAGTTTTAAACTACAGTGTTAATCAATAACCAAAGAAAAATTAACAATAAATTATTAACTTTACATTGCTTAAAACGTGACTTAAAACTAACTATTATAGTATAAATAAATTTTACTTACTGACATATCTAAGGCTATTGGCGTTGTGTAGTAGTACTACATCTATAACCTACAAGTTCAAAAGTAATAAAGGTCCACAGTACTTTTGTTTGGACGATTAACTACAGTTTGTGGTTGACATGGATACAAATCAAAAAAC